TTTTTTTTTTTAATTTTTTTTTTTTTTTTTTGCTTAACTCATTGACTGCCAGCCATTTTCAGAACAGAGAGTCAGAGATTTTTGAGCATTTTGACTGATTTTTCAAGAGCCACAGAATAGTTTGTGCTACGACTATGTAAACACCGAACACACCAAAAGAAAGACTAGACTCTCTTCTTTCATCAGGAAAAGATTTTTGTTTCTACCTTATTCCGTTCTTCCTCGACTACGTCTCACCGGCGCCATTTCTCTCATAGCGAACCATTGCGTTTTTTTAAATTTGCCTACAGTCTATGCTCATCTCCCATCAAAAGTGGCACAGCTACCTAGAGGGTAAATTTGTTACTACATACTCTGTCTAGAAGCCGATATTTACGGAAAAACTTTAGCAGATCGTCCCCCAGCCACTCGTGTTGAAAAACATAGCCAATGAGTTAATAACTTAATACTGTTTGCCCTTTAAGCTGCTGGTAACCTTAATTTCCTGAGGGATCAAGGGATCAATAAAGTATAGTCTAAGTCTAAGTCTAAGTCTAAGTCAAGCACAGGTGGAATATTGTGGCTCGTGGCATTTTTGTGTGTTCATCTCTCCAGACGGTTTGTTAGAACTTAGACAGGTTATATTCACAAATACCTTTCCAGTAATAGGTTTAAGCTTACAAGTAAAACTATAAAGGATGTGCTCGTTCCCTGTGTTAATCTTCTATGTGTGTTTTTGGTGCAGGCTCACTCTTGGGTATCTGTGTTGCTTCTTTATATCTAGCAGGCATCTTCGTGCCCTTCTCTTATTATCTCCCAGTTTGCTTCTTATGATTGATGGCATATCAGTAAATTTACTATGCAGTCCGGTCTATTTATAGTAGCCTTGTCTTTGCTTTTGCTGGAGCTCTGAGAGCACTACACAAGGACATTGTCCCATTTATTCCAGTAAAGAGAAATCTTTATCAGTCAAACACAAAGAGTTGCACTCTGTGAGCATTTAAAAATAAATATCAGATGTGACCCATCCTTTTATTATTGTCACTCTTGTGCTGTGGCACCCTTTATAAAATAAATGATTTACCATTAGTGGAGATGACTTGGTCAACTTAACCAGTGTTGTGAATTGTTTGCCCTAATTCTAAAAACTGTGCACGGTTGGTCTGTTGACCCACGGGGTTGTCATCTGGCAGATATCAGACCTCAGAATAAATGTCCTTAAGGCAACAACAGCGCGCCGTCCCAGATGAGCTTTATGACTAAATATGCTGTTTGGACTGTGTAAACCCGGAGCCCAAGGGTAGCCCTATTACGCCATTGTCATATGGATTACAGCGAAGACGTTAGCACTAATGAAGTATTTACTATTATTAAATCAGGTCTGAAAAATGCTCGCCGGAGTACGTAATGAAGGAATCCTTCATCCAATGCCATGTAATGCATGAGCCTAATTGTCCTCCAGTTAGTGTTTCACATCTCCCTTGGGTGAATACTTTTGGTTGAAGGCGAAGTAATGAAAAATACGTGGCCATATTTTGTGTTTTTATGGACCCGCTGAGGGACATATTAATAATATCTCTGTGGCATGCGAAAGTAAGTTATTCGATGTTTTCAACTAAATAAGAAATTCATTTCTAGCCTATCAGCTGCCATTAGGATGTGCTTGGCTTGTCTCTAACTGACTATCTGTGTGTTTTTTGTCCTCAGTCTCTGCAGGAGGAAGTGCCTATACCAGGAACGGACATGAAACTGGGCTATCTGAGCAGCAGGACCCCGGGCTACAAGTCAATACTAAGGGTGACCCTCACCCACTCCCTTATCCCTTTCAACCTGATGAAGGTTCACCTCATGGTGGCTGTGGAGGGCAGGCTGTTCAGGAAGTGGTTTCCCGCAGCCCCTAACCTCTCCTACGACTTTGTGTGGGACAAAACCGACGTGTACAGTCAGAAAGTGTACGGCCTGTCCGAGGCCTTCGGTACGTGGAGAAGCACACTTAAAGGAAGACGCATTATTTTGCTTTCATCTGGTTGCAAGTGGAGCTGAGTAGTTGAGTGTCTTTGTTCTGTTTTCTGTGTAGTTTCAGTAGGTTTCGAGTACGAGTCGTGTCCAGACCTCATTTTGTGGGAGAAGAGGACTGCTGTGCTACAAGGATACGAGACCATAGCTTCCAAACTGGGAGGATGGACAGTAGACAAGCACCACGCTTTGAATATCCAGAGCGGTGAGTCAAGTGGTCATTTATTTAAAAAATCTGCAGCCTAATGATCACATAATGCAGGTCCCTTTACACAATCATCCATTTTCTATAACTACCCCATAATTTAATGTTGCAGCACATGTGGATAATTCATGTTATTTCATTTATAATTGGTTTAATTTACAATTTTTATTAATATTCCATTTAATATACATTTAGGATGTAGGATTAGACAGACAATGATGATGGATTTAGGTTCTGCTGAGCAGATTTTTCAAATGGGCTGTAAACCGAGCTAGAGTTAAATGCCACATTGTGCCGTGCACAATTCTCTTAATGCATGAATAAACTGTCCTTCTTGCCTTTTGAATGCTGCAGCTTTTTTTTTATAAATATCGCCCTATCCTGTAGCTCAAAATAGATCTGACTTTTTATTTCTATGGTACATCTTTAGGTAAAGGTGGGGGTCAGTTTTTTTTTATGCTCAGCAAATTACTCCTGAAAGGCAGCAGGAGGAATAAAGCTTGACAGCACCTGTCACTACCCAGAGCCCTCATAGTCTGAGTCCGGAGAATCTCATCACAGAAGATGGAGCGTGCTTGAAAATTGGTCGGAGAGGTGGCACTCTCATGTGCCAGGTACTAAGCGTATCCGGTCTCAACATGTTATCCAGAGGATGGTAGAAGCTGCTTATTCCCCCCCAGCTCTGCCAGCCCTCTGCATCCTCACCCCTCTGCTGGCACCTTTTTGTCTTCCCCATGCCCGGCACTTTCAGAATCACCCCTAATTTAATCGCTGTTAGGCTGCTACTCCCAGCAGCAGTCCCTTTGATTAGATCTCGTCCCGGGAAAGGACGCGTGGCTGAGCTTTTTTGAGAGCCCACATGTTGTTCTGCTGTGAGAAAGTGTACCATCAAGTGCCATAGGAGCTGGAAAAGCTACCAAAAGCTTCCATATGCCGAACCTCAAATAAGATTACATCAGTTTAGCAGCAGGTTTATTTTTGAGTTTACACTTTTAAGAATTTCTCTGATAAAAAACGCCCAAATGAAAACATTATAATGAGCGTGTGTGATGGAATTTGACTGTTCAAGACCACACTTTTGTGGAGGGAAAACAGCTTTGTGTGTGTGTGACACAGAGGGAATTTGCACTTGTGTGGTTATTTTCTACACCCACTTGTTCCGAAGATATCCTGCTCCCCATTCTGGTGTGAAATTGTCCTGTTTTTGATTCGCTATGACATCCTTTTGCTGCTAACACAAGCACACAGGAGACATTTTGATGTTATCAGTTATGCATGTACACATGCAAACGCATTTAAAACTGTGTCCGATTCTAATCTGTGTTAAGTTTCTCCTCTGAAATGTCTTTAAAACCACATTCAGCTGTTTTAAGTCACAGGGAGACTAACAGAAGTAGTTTCATCTCAGCTAATTTCTAGTGGCTAATTTGAATCCTCTTGCTCTCCTCTTGTTAGCAGTAATATATATCATTACTGTTAACAGCGGGAGTCTTTTTTTTTAAATGAATCACACATCATGCATATATGATTCATACATATATCCAATTTAAAAACCCTTTTTATCTTCTTGTGTTTGAAATTCTACATCTTTTTGTTTTTTTGCTTTTTCAGTTTTTGTTTGACAATTTACTGAATAAAGGTCTAAATGATAAAACAAAACAAAAAAACAATTTAAAAATCCTTTCAAAAAGACTTGAAAGCTGGGCTTTTTATGCCTTTCTGTGATAGTTTGGTGTGAATAGATACATTGGGCGCCATTACGTTTTTGTATTAATTCAAAATTTGCATTACCAAATAAAATGAAACACGTTTGATATGTGAAAGGCTTTAAATTAAATAAAACAGATTAATCTGAAATAGGTTTATCATTTTATTTTTAAGAATTAACCATCCTCTTTCAGGAAAATACTTCTCTGGATACATCAGTCTCCTTAATTTGGGAAAAAAAATCTCCCTTTTCAAGCTGATTTTGAACCAAATGTGCAGCTCTGCTTGAGAATTGTGGGTGACATCCTTTCTGTGGCTGGTCAGGCATCCTTCACATGGGCAACGGGGAGAACGTGTTCATCTCGCAGCAGCCCCCGGTCATCGGCAGCGTGATGGGCAACGGGCGGCGGCGCAGCATCTCCTGCCCCAGCTGCAACGGCCTGGCCGACGGGAACAAGCTGATGGCGCCCGTGGCTCTGGCCTGTGGCTCGGACGGGAGCCTCTACGTGGGCGACTTCAACTACGTCCGCAGGATCTTCACCACGGGGAACGTCACCAGCGTCCTGGAGCTGAGGTAACGGGGGAGAAGCCCACTAGCTTCTCATCCCAAACGGGCTAATAAACCACCGAGAAGTACAAGTACTATGTGAAAAAATTTACTTGAGTAAAAGTAGAAGTGTTCTTTCAACACCATACTTTCGGGAGGCCTTTTTTTTAATAGGCTATGCTTGATCGTTCAAATCGCCCAATGAGGAGCCAGCTTCACAAACCCTGACAGAGCTATCTATCATTACGTTTACATATCAGTAACGAGTAACGATTCAGCCCGTGAAAAATCGATCGGAGTAAAAGTATTGAAATAATCAAAAATATGTAGTGGAGTAAAAGTAAAAGTAGTAGGGGAAAAAATATCTACTCCAATGAAGTACAGATACTGCATTTTGGTACTTAAGTACAGTACTGAAGTAGTTCTACTTCGTTACTGAACATCTCTGCCACCGAGGTGGATAGAAATAGACAGAAATGCCCTAAAGGCAGAGGATTGATGGTCCTTCCTTTCTCGTTCACCTGTATCAGCTGGAGTTTGCCCTCTTAGGGGCTGAAAGGGATGTGGTGGGTTCTAAACAGACGGTGTCCCAGAAAAGATTCATTCCTGTGTTAATGTGTGCACCGAGAGCTAAAACAAGTAAAACGTCTTGTCATGTTTGTGTCTAATTCTTTTCAGATTCTCGCTTTTAACAACTAATCTTTCCTCTCCTTTTCTTCTTCCTGTTTGCTGCTTTTTGTCAAACTCTGACAGAAATAAAGACTTCAGGCATAGGTAAGCCATAAAGCTTTCGCTTAAGAAAAGGTTCCAGCCCCAGTCTTTGGTGTCAGGGGGAGCTTATAGACATGAAGAGGTGTTAAAGCACAGCCTCCGCCGGCTTCCTTTTATCTTTGCAAAGCACTCGATGTAAAGATTTATTTACAATCTGGTTTGAGTCTCTGTCAGAATCCAAAGCTGTCTTCATTTACAGTTTTTTCATCTGCATGAGTGATTGCAATCTAAAAAACAGGTAGTAGAGACTACATTTGTCCTTTTACAATGAAACACTGTTTGTAGATAATATTAAGCCTTTCAATGTCTCCATTTCAAGAGCATCATGTCTGGAGGTACAGTTGTTTGCGGAATTAGGTGTGGACCAGTTTATTAAGTGCTTATTAAAACTTTAAAACCTTAAACATCCATAACACTTGTCCAGATCATCGTCGTTAAACGTTACGGCTGCAGAATTCAGCTTTGCATGGTTCCTTCCTTTAGGCCTCTCTTTGTGAGCCTCGTAAATTGGGAGCTGAGCTCTGATTTTATCTGTGGATTTAGATACAGCGGGCTGATTTTCTGTGGCAGGAGGCAGCGGGGGGAATTTCTCGGTGCCCTCTTAGATACCTTGTCTCAGGTAAAGGGCTATTGATTGATTTTCTGTTGCCGGGTCACGACTAAAGCTCTGGAACACGCAGTCAAGCCCAGGATGAAAAGCTTTGTGATGCTGGTCACTCGCCTCCACTTTTATGAATGACCACTTTACCAAACCACACAGCCCCTCACGCCTTTGATCTCTTCTGTCTGACCTATCCACGCATAGTTGTCATTTCTCAAATTTCTTCATGCATAACAGAAACCGTACTGATTTAAAACTCCAGCTTTGTCCGTCTCGGATACAAATTCTGTTTGTTAGAGCACGGCCGTAGAAATGTCAAAGCCACACATTTGAATATTAAAAAGGAGATTTGTCCGGAAAAAGAACAGCATGTGCCGGTATCAAGCTAGTTCCTGCGTTAGCTAGCGGTGGGAGTGGGAGGTGGCTGATCTCACAGCGGTGTTCACTGCCCCCCCGCTAAGGATGTCCCCCGTTCGCTCGGACTATTCTTACGACGGCGTGCAGCAAAATCCAATTATCTTCTACAAACTAGATGTTGTCGGTGAATATAGATGGTGTGTCTGGCCATAGCTCAAGGTCAGAGAATTACACCGCATCGTTTCAAAGCCCGTGGAAGGAACAACTCTGTTTTACATGCGGCCGATAAGGTATCGGCTGACCGCACATGGCCGATACGATGCAAAGCAGAGTCCACTTATTGAGATTTACTACCGAAATACTGTAAAAAGAAAATTGTACTTTTTCTCCCTACGCCTGTCCTTTGGATTTAGGAATATACAGTAAACGGATATATCGGTCAGACTGACCGGAGGGCTGCTGGTGACATGTATGCCCGGGGTTTGAAACTCAGATTCACTGAGGGTCAAGTGTCACCCGCTGTTATAAACCGGAGATGACAATCCCACAGACTCGCCTGTCTTTCCTCTTGCTGTACGTCAGAAACATTTCTGACATTTGTGTTGGCACTGTCATATTGACCGTACCACCTAAAACTGCCCTCCAGGTTAGAGATGAAATGCTGTCTTAATCGACTTTGGAAAACTAAGCTGAAGAGATATTTATAACCAGTTCTATATTCAAACGTGGATAAACTTGGTGGATCTGTAGTAGCGTCTTTAGGGGTTTTCTCTCTAATTGTCTCTTATGTTTCCTATAAGCAAATATAGATTTGTCAATCCGAATGGTATTTTATGTCATTTCATGTGAACTTCTATGGATTTATCCACGTCTGCCTTTGTTTTCTGGGTTTTTTTTGTCTGTCCTGGCTCGAGTATACCAATAATTTCCCTCTTGGATTAAATAATTTCACTCGGGGATTATTAAAGTATTTCTGATTCTGATTCTGAGATTGAATGCATCTGGCTACACTGATATTGGTCATATTTTGTTTTTTCTGTCTGTCTGTCAGGTTCGGAAACCTCATGAGGGATTACTTTGTTCATTTGGCTAGGAATTAAACAGAATTTCTTTATTTCTTTACCGGCGTATCTGCCTGATGGAGGCTTAATGTGTTTGGATTTCTGGTTGAGTTGTGTTTTTGTTCGTCCCGAGGGAAATAGAAGACATCCTTATCTGTATTTGTTCTGGCAGTAACCAGGCGGCTGCCATTGTACGGTTGGTTTCATTCAGTTGTTTTCGAATTATATCACAGGAATTTCTCAAGTCACTAATTGGATATTAATTAGGATTTCTGTGAAAGGAACCAGCGTACCTTAAAAAATTAGAACCAGCAGACCATTGCTTCCTTTTTCAGCCCGTATTATGACTGTCTCCATCATTTGGAAGAAATAAAAGGTCCACATATAAAATCAACAGGATGCAGGAGTCACAAGTGTTTTCTGTGAAGTATCTATGGACCTTTCTTCATTTAAAGGCCATTTTAAGTCTCTTTTGGCAACAGGGATTTTGAACTGAGCTGAGTGTGTTGTAGATTATTTTCTAAGCCTCACCATTATGTCATGCTTAATCTCATTTCACTTTGTCATGTTAAATCTCATTCTATTCTGTCTTTTTCCATGTCCTGGCTTTAAACTGTAATTGGGCCCAATTGACTCTCTAAATGGCTTTTGAATCCATTTTAATTGTATTACAGAATGTTTCTTATTGAAAGCGCTGTAGCTTTATTGACTGGAGTTTCTCCTCTCCCTCTGCTCAGCAACAGTCCGGCTCATAAGTACTATCTGGCCAGCAGTGCTGTGAACGGCGCCGTGTACCTGTCGGACACCAGCAGCAGGAAGGTTTTCAGGGTGAAGTCTCTGAATAGCGTGAAAGACGTGGCGAAGAACCTGGAGCTGGTGGCGGGCACGGGGGACCAGTGCCTCCCGTACGACGACGCCCGCTGTGGGGACGGAGGAAAAGCCGTGGAGGCCACGCTTAATAACCCCAGAGGTAACGCGTGGAAATCCTGTGTGTACGACTTCATGTCAGTTTTATTCTAAAAAACGAATCAACTGCTGGACAGTGGATTGTGTTACTGTCAAGGGAACCCTGAAAGCTCTCTTATCCCTCGATATACAGTGGGGGAAATAAGTATTTGACCCCTTGCTGATTTTGCAGGTTTGCCCACTTACAAAGAATGCAACGATCTATAACTTTAATCATACGTACATTCTAACAGTGAAAGACAGAATCCCAAAGAAAATTCCAGAAAATCACATCATATGAATTTATAAAAATTGATAAGCATCTGATGAGGAAAAATAAGCATTCTTTGTAAGTGGGAAAACCTGAAAAATCAGGTTATTTCCCCCACTGTAACTGGCAGTACAGCGCACACAAGCAATGAACTGCTTCATTTTAGACCTGAGAACTCATTTTCCACAGCATGCCTGCAATTTTCCCGGGGTCTTTTTTCGTGTTTTTTTTGGTTGTTGTTGCTTCCATGTTGGTGTTGCGTATTAGTCATTAGAGCACATTTGCTTTTTGTCCTCTGCAGAGATGACATCATGAGTCATGAGTGCTCAGATGATCCTGCCCCCCTGTGTAATTTTCCATGCAAAGTCCATCCTCGAAACAAAGCTGTTTGTCTAAAATTAAACTAGGCCGGATTTAATTAAGCTGCTTGTTTAGTTGCTAAAATATTGTTTGCGACACTCCAAATGAACAAGGAAAAAATGCAGAGGTGGAGAAAGTAGGAACAAAAGACGATGCACTGATGAGATTTAGTCTGTAATTGAATCAATAGTTACAGTGTTCTTTATCTGTTTTGATGCCTCTATTGTTCTCCTTTATCGATTTTTCAAAAATCCATTCCAGTATTAGTTTTCATTGGCGTGATTGGTCTTTCATTTCATTGCAGTGGAAATTTCTTGATCGTCATTTACGAGGGCTCTGTGATCACATCAGACGCAGACAAACCGAACAGCCGATGGATATTTGATCTGGTTCTCATTGAGTGACTTTTTATCTGCAGGCATCACGGTGGACAAATACGGCGTCGTCTTTTTCGTGGACGGGACCATGATCCGCAGGATTGATCAGAATGGAATCATCTCCACTCTTCTGGGCTTCAATGACCTGACTTCTGCTCGCCCCCTCAGCTGTGATGCTGTGATGGACATCTCTCAGGTACCACCGCCCACTCTAGTGTCCTTTATAGGACACCATAGCTTTGTGTCATTAGCAGGTTAAGCTAGCTGCCCTGAATATAATTATGGAGTTTAAATCAGAGTACTTTCTTAGGGCCTCAAGACTGAAAAGACATAAGGAACAAGAAGATATTACAAGCTAAATAACAGAAGAAAAAAAAACATATTTAACCCTTTAAAGCCTGATCCAAGAATAAAACAAAACAGAAAATCACTTTTTTTTTGTTTGAATTCCTTATTTGGCCTTTTAACAAAATATGTAAAAAGAAAAAACAGAAATACATTTTTAATATTGATAATTTATTACTATGCGAAATGTCAATATTATTTTTGTGTAATCTTCTGCCCCCTGTTATCAGGTGTATCTGATTGTGTATAATACGATTTTGAGCACTTTTTACTATTAAATTATGCAAAAGGTGTCAGACGCAAAACATTTCAGAAACCGTAAGTATCAAATATGATACATTTGGCATTACAGGGTTAAACTTGACTGTCATTACTGTAGCAATTTTACAAAAGAGAAGACATCAGATGTGTTAATTGAGTTATGCTTACTGACCTCCAGGACTTGGAAAAAAGAAAAATTGAAATCAGTTTGCTTGTGTCTGATTCAATTAAGTAGCTACAGACTCCTAAATGTAGCGGGCTGTTTATCTGTGCCCGTTGAGGAGTGACAGAGATGACCTGCAGATTAATTAGCCCTCAGTTCGTCCACACGCGGTCACTGATGCACAGGAACACGTGTACACGCGTGCACGTTCATGCACCCGCTCGACAGAGCACATCCCCGAGGGGAGTCACGTCTGACAGCTCTTTTGGGAGATGCTGGCTGTGTCCTGTTCTTTCTCCCAAAAAATGTGTTTACTGGTATTTTTCCGCTTTATTTACAGCTACCTCAGCTTTACCCTCATCCACAAACTTCCCTGGTGCTTAACCCTTTAAAGCCCGATCCAAGAAAATAGGAAGAATATTGGATTTTTTTTAGTCTGAAGTCTTTCTTTGGCCCCTCAACAACATATGAAGAAAAAAAACAGAAATTATTTTCATCAAATTAGCATGTAATAAGTAAAAAATGTATGTTGGTGTAGTCTTCTACTGGCTGTTATCAGGTATATCTGAATGTGTACAACAGGGGTTTGAGCAAAGCTTTTACCACTGAATGATGCAAAAAGTCTCAGATCCAAAAGGCGTATGTATCAAATATGATACATTTGGCATTATAGGGTTAATTATGAGACTTAATTTCTCAATTTTGCATCATAAGCAAACATTGGAGCGTTTCGTATCTCATTGCGTAAAAAAGTAAACGGGTTCTGAAAGGTCACAGATTAAACTGTGAATAAAAAGTAATGCATACCGGACATAAGGCAAAGCCTCTGGCTGCCCGTTTCCATCCCTGAGGAAGCTCCATATCCCCCATGACCCCTGCTGCCCCTTACCTTCTCACACCGATGCGCCTATAGATCCTCACCACAGCTGTGAAAACACAGGCCGCTGCACAAAGATGACAAATCACACGAGCTTTGGATGGTAAAAAGCATCCATTAAAGATTCATCCAGAGCCCATAGCCTCCTACAGCAAACACTTCCTGTCTCCTGACTGTGAGAGAGTTTGTCAGGAGAAGGTTTTATGTCTCCTCTAAAGACGCTGTGGTTGTTTTGCCGTGGAACTCATTCCTAATTCAATAAACATCTCCGCAACCTTTCTGTTTTTTCCCCCCGACTTTTTCCATTATCATGCAAAAGGACGAGAGTTTGACCTCATTAAAAAATCTGTAGATTTGTTTACAGCACAGACCCTTGCTGTATGAGAAGTGCATTTGATTTTCTGTGTCAAGTCTTCTCTGCTGAGTTTAATCTCGAGTTTGGGGAAACAAGATCGTTCAACAATATTTCACGGGTGTTAGCAGTTTCAAAGAACATTGTCGACTGTAACGTGCAGCTCATATCCGAGAGGGTCTTTAAATAATGTCCCACAGACACCATACTAGTGTGAGCAACGTGTGACGAAACTGTTCATTATAGTTCTAATAACACTTCAGATATTCTTAAATATCCCTATATGTTACATTGGTGCAAATCCGCTGCTTGTGCCCACAGCTTATGAGGTTTTTGTTGATGCTGGTTGTATCTAGCCGGGGCTACTGACAGCTGCCCCCCTCTCTAAAGGGGGGGGGGGGGGGGGGTATGATCGGGTTACAGCGTGTGTGACAGCGGCTCAGGAAATATCCCTTCATCAGTCAGAGTGGCGTGAAAACCTCCTTACAGGCAGGTCTCCTGAGCCACTCCACACTCAGCCTCATGAAATATTTAACCGCCAGTGTTGACAAGAAATAGGTTTTAAGAAATTGAAAGTCCCCCCCCTTCATTACCCAAGTAAATGCATTTTCTGCTCACTGAAAGATTACACGCGACTACCGCCAGTTACCTGTTTGTTGTATGTGGCCAAAAGATATATCCCGTTATGTAAACCTCCCCGGTTTTTGTGGGGGATGATGTGAGGTTTACAGCATATGAGCTATTTATGATGCTCAAAATCTGTTCTCCAATCCAACTGAAGATACGATAAATTCTACCAGCAATTCTCAATTAGCAATATGTAAAGATACTATGTAAATAACAATCACAACAGGGCTGATGCTCTTAGAGCTTAAAGCGATTTAAAATCAGCAACTCTTTTTCTCTTATTTACTTTTCTGTTTTACATTTTCTGATCATAATATTTCACATTTAAATAAGTTTATAGATGACCCGTGCTCAAGAGATTTCTGATAACAAAGATGGTCATTTACATTTCAAGGGAGTCATAACGAACAGCCTGATAATGGTAGCTTCTTGCTAATGGGAATACAAAAATAACAGTAATGTTGTTCTTATCACAAAGGATGACTAAAAGTCTGAACCGTCTTTTGTATTTTAGTCAAGATCATAACTGTTGAGGTTCCAAGGCCTCTACTGAAATATCGCAGTTCATATTATGTTTCTACGAGATCCCACTTGGATCATTAATGAGAAGGAGACCAGTAAATTGGATGAATTCAATCATTTCAATTTATTAAGGGCCTGATACAATGTTAGCAGAACAATAAGTCATAATTTAAGAGGCCCGAGACATGTTAGGCTTTCATTTAGTAAGTGTGCGCTTTTCTCTTATCGAGAACTCATGAAATCTCTTTTCATTACAAAATGAATAACCCAAAGTAGGAAACAATTGAGACTTGGAAGAATTGAGGGAGGCAAAGGCCTTGTCCTTCAGTGTCTGCAGTTCTCAACACAAATTCCAGTTTTATTTTCTATTCAGTTTTTTGTTGTTTTTTTGTTATTGATTAATTAAATTATCTGCACATATGCTGCCCCTCCAAGCCACCATCTTCTCACCATGAGCAGGATGCAGATTTATGATTTTGCCAAAGATAATAACTTAATTTTATTGTTCGTTGAGAATGTATAAGTTCTGTATCTGTTGCTCTTTTTAAAGTGCAGTTTTAAAGGTCTCTTTTCATTCAGGTTCTGGTTCTGTGATTCCAAATGTATGCATGTTACATTTTGTTTGTGGAGTTTTAAAACTGATATTTTTGGTGGATTACTTTCTTCCCAGGTGCGCCTTGAGTGGCCCACAGACCTGGCGGTGAGTCCCATGGACAACTCCCTCTACGTCCTGGACAACAACGTGGTCCTGCAGATCTCGGAGAACCACCAGGTCCGGATCGTGGCGGGCCGGCCCATGCACTGCCAGGTTCCCGGGATCGACCACTTCCTCATGAGCAAAGTGGCCATCCACGCCACCCTGGAGTCGGCCAATGCCCTGGCCGTGTCCCACAACGGCGTCCTGTACATCGCCGAGTCGGATGAAAAGAAGATCAACAGGGTCCGGCAGGTGTCCACCAACGGGGAGATCTCCCTGGTTGCCGGGGCGCCGAGTGGCTGCGACTGTAAGAACGACGCCAACTGTGACTGTTACTCTGGAGACGAGGGCTACGCTAAGGACGCTAAGCTGAACGCGCCCGCCTCCCTGGCCGTGTGTCCGGACGGGGAGCTTTACATCGCAGACCTCGGGAACATTCGCATCCGCTACGTGCGCAAGAACAAGCCCTACCTGAACCCCCTCAGCATGTACGAGGTCTCCTCTCCCATTAACGACGAGCTCTATCTGTTTGACTCCAACGGCAGCCATATCTTTACGCAGAGCCTGTCCAGAGGAGACCACCTCTACAATCTGACCTACACGGGATCTGGAGATCTGAGCAGCATCACGGATAAGAACAAAAATACAGTGATCATCCGGAGGGATACGACGGGAATGCCTCTCTGGCTGATGGTCCCCGACGGGCAGACCTTCTGGTTCACCATCGGTACAAACACTGCCCTAAAAACCGTTGCTGCTCAGGGTCAGGAGCTAGCCGTGATGACCTACCACGGAAGCTCAGGACTCCTTGCCTCCAAGACAAATGAAAATGGATGGACAACCTTTTTTGAGTAAGTTGCATGTTAAACATTTGGAAAACACATTTATAATCCCGATACCTAAATATTCTGATGCCCCCTAAACTGCTCGGAGCACCTGAAAATCACCAAAAATCACCTGGAATAGTTGGGCCAAAGGTTTTTCCTTCTATTTATACAACTGAAATCAAATGCAAATTTAGTCACAGTGTGTTTGGAGGTGGTTAGCTTGTTGGTGTCTGGGTTAAGTGGTTCTGATGTCACTTAAAATACAAAACCCGTGAAAGTATGAGCATAATCCTATTTGCCGTTATCATACCAGATAGGATTACTGGATGATACATTACTTATCTGCACTCTTGTTTTAGTTAAAGACTGCAGATTCTCAGTTGTTTTGAGTTGTCAGAAGTCAGAAACAAGATATATCTGCTGCCAAGAAAACTTTTACCGGGTGATGGTGGAGGTCCGTCCATATAAGCATCACAGAATAAGCAGAGGTACAGTAGTAACTGAGAAAGACACACTGAGAGAGAACAGTTGAAAAGCCTCCCACACTCCTCAACATCTGAGCGTAGGATTTTGTGTTCTCGTGACTCGTGTGTAGCAATCTGTCCCTTATCCTAATGCGATGTGTCGAGGGAAGCCGCGCTAACTGGATGTCACTCCAAAAGTGTGCTTAAGCAGATTGGATGGTCGGACATCTGCTACACCTTGCTGCAGGAATATAACTCTGACACATAATCAGACGCTCTGTTTAATGTGAGCAGCAATTCATCACCTGGGTTTTACATGGTTGTCATCCGAGATGGTTGGAGTGAGAAAAGATGCACTAATGCAGCCACACGTGCGTTTTCTGAAGGAAAAAACAATTTCCTCTGGCTACAAAAACTCTGTGGGTGGCTAAGTCTTATACTGATTTCTGTAAAATAACAGTTTTTTTCTTATTTTGTTGGTAAATAGCAGTTCAGGAAAGGTTATTAAAAAGGAAATAAATAAATAAAATATTTTTTTTTAACAAGAAGAGAATATTCAGCTTGTTTTTAACTCGGCTTTAAAGAAAAATATACTGTGGCATGATAAAAATTCTTCTAGAATCTGGAATTATAAAAAGATAAAACATAAAACTGCTTTAGGTTTATAACCATGACATCTCATTTTGTTTACAGACAGAGTACAAACTTCTGCTTTACATTTTTCAGATCATACTTGTAGGATAATGTTGAGAAAATGTGATTGAGTTTCCCTTTTTTATTCTCTCAAATGAAAGTAATGACCTTGTTTTTACCTACAGGCGAATCAGATCATCCATGTTTCATTTAGACACAATAAAGAGCATTTGTTCCTTCTTGAATAATTAGTGTTGAAGGTCAGGCCACCACCAGAGGGTCACAAGAATAATTTGCTGCCATCAAAACCTCCATTTATCTCTGCCACAATAAGTTAAAAATTAAGAATTTTCCTCATATCAATGATATTTACTTACATCCTTTCGTCTAAAGATCAAAATGAATCTGAATGAGTGAAGAAACCTCTTTCTATGGGTTCAACAGAGAACAAAAGGCATTTACTACATTGTGTTTTTATGGTAACTTAATTTGCATTGATATTCACTGTGTACGCAGACACTCCTAATATTTTTGTTCTCATGATAAGTGCCTGGGCTTAAGGGCTGCCGTAAATCTATTAAATCATCTTATATCACGAAAGACACCTAATTACTCTCCTCCCTCCCGTTTAACAGGGTGATGATACTCTTATAACAAATGTGCTCTTGCCGAAGGGATGAATCCGGTCTTCTTTAGTTGATATTGCACAGCCATAAGTCAGCAGAAGTGGTCTAAATTTTTCAGGATCCTGCATAAAACTGACATTTGATATGCTGCAGGTGAGGGCTACGTGAGGTCTGGGGTCTATTGTCGGCCGCTAGCGTGAAAGGTCACGGAGCTAGCGTGTGACACGGAGGTGATCCGATCTGAAAAGGCCTGTGGCCAGCCATGGGGGAAAACCGGTCCTCTCCTTTTGTCCAGCAGACCTGCCCCTGCGCGGCCCTTTTGTCCAGAAGAGGCTAGCTAATGGGCAGCTGAGCTGAAGCGGGCCCGGACCATTAACAGCTCAGCACACAGGCTTAAAGACTGGGACTTTCTCACCGCCCTAATTGAGACAGAAAGAGTTTGGGTCAGCGATCAAACTGGCACATGTACTAGTGCTCTACAATGACATTTCTGCCTGCTGGACTCTCCGGTTGAGGAGGGAACACTGTCCAATTGAACAGAAAATGATAGCGGACATAGCATAGAAAGGGAGCTTTTGATGCAAAAAACGGTGTTCTTACAACGAACACGACATGAATATCTCCAGGAGCATCAAAGGAAATCAAATGCTCAGATATAAATGACTCATTTTAGCATTTCCGGTAGTGGAAGACGTCGGTTGAAATGTATCTATGAATCCCCGTCCCTGCTACAGCTGGGATCAGATAGCATTTATCGCCGGGAGATAATTCCTCCTCCAGTCTTCTTTTCCATATTGGATATTTGAGATGGCAGCGCTGAGGAGTTATCTGTAAACCAGCACCCACCATCTCATTTATTAGAAGCTTTATTATGGCAGGCAGCAACATCGGAGAGGGCTCTCTAATTTGTATTCGGCGCACAGATAAAAGTCTTCATTCTAAGTAATGTACCGTTCACTCTCTCCCATTCTGGAACACCGGCCGCCCGAAAGATTTCAAATTGTTCGATGCTGATGTGCTCTCAGAGCAAAATGAAACAATCTGGCCACTCATGTTCTTGTATGTGATGAGCTGATTTGTGGGCTGGGGAGATGCTGCAGTCTCCAAGGAGTCACTCCTCAGTGCTCCTATTTCATAGACTGTATAATGAGATTAGATGATATCCCTAATCTCCGAAGGCTAATAAGCGAGTTTTCCAAATGTGAAAAGATGTGCGCTTTCTCATCTTGACTGTGACACTTTGGGTAATTGTGCTGGGTTTTTTTCTGTTACCTGCTTGCGTCATTACAAGGTTTCCTACAGTTTGAGAAGTATTTCAATTCCACAAAATCTTCTAGAAAGACTTCAAAAAGTTTAGACGTGCTGCACGTGTGATCTTATTTAGCCTGAATTGATCAACAGCCGCAGATATTTCACACTTTTTAATAAAAAAAAAAGGTGTTGATTGTGTTGAAGGTGAGAGTTTTGACTTCTTATTACCTCAGGCTTCAGGCTCTGATAGATTTTGTGCTGTGTTTACTGCCCATGTTCACACATCGTTTGTGACGCTTCCGAACAAATGAAGGTCTTTACAGGAAGAAAAAAGAAAAAAAACTCTCTTACCCCTAACAATCACTATCACACCCGACACAAAACACTCTCACAATCACAGGATATCTCACTTTCCATTGATGTATTTCCATTTGATGTCAGATAACATGCATCACTATACCTGATATATATGATATGTGATATGATATCAAAATCAGAATCAGAATCAGAAATACTTTAATAATCCCAGATGGAAATTATTTTTGTTACTGGCTCCATAAATTAAACAACAGCATATACATATATACATGTCTATACATATATATATATATATACAAAATTCCACATATATTACCGGTATATATAACATAGATATAATATAGATAAATATATACATAAATAACTATATGTATATATATAGGTCTAAATAAGTGGTGGTGATAATGTCAATGATTAAGATATACCTGGTGGCTAACATCTGCCTTTTTTTTTTAGGTATGACAGTTATGGCCGTCTGACCAACATCACTTACCCCACCGGCCTGGTCAGCAGCTACCGGACAGACGTGGACAGCTCAGTCCGCGTCCAGGCCGAGGGCTCCAGCAAAGAGGACATCACAGTGACCACCAACCTGTCAGCTTCTGGCACCTTCTACACGCTTATGCAAGGTGAGCGCGCTCAGACGGTCAGCGGGTCATTTTCTGCTGTTTGCTGTGAGATCGGGCAGAGCCGGACCGGGCATCTCACAGCTAGGTTTTCAGTAGTGCTCCGCCTGAATCAATTCACCCCTCAATAACTATTTTGTGGTTATAAAAATCATCTTATTATGTAGAAATACAGTATAAAGATCAGGGGTGTACAGTCTTCTACTACTGCAGCTATAGCTGCAACACCCCATCAATACAAACATCAATAATATCCTCATAAACTTGCAATATTATTTAAGAAAAAAGCAACATTTTACCCACTTTTCTTGAAATGTCCGTCTTGAAAATGGCCTTGACAGTAAATCTGCCACCAAATCCATTTCTTCTCCTCCTTCAGTCATTGTGGGGTGATAAAATAGATATTACACCAACACAACTATATTTCGGTTGGTTTGCTAACTTTGGCTGGTACGCTATCTGACTATCCAATCAGCGGGCGTGAATACAGTGACGTTACCTAAGGCCTTCTAGAAGGCCCTGGTGTCCCCAACTTAAAATCTGATTGGTTTAAGCAACAGTTTAATCGACATTTACTTTCTGTTAGAGGGCAGAACAGATTGTGAAGGCCTCCAGGCAGACTTCTTTGACTTTGACCCTACCTAGCAACAAATGATGGCTGAAATGTGATTGGTTAAATGCTTTAATATGAAAATACATGTCTGGAAGCAGCACAACCAGGAGAAAAGCTATGAAAGGAAGCAGACGGACCATTTGGAAATATTTAATAAGTATTCATGGACAAAATATAAATAACATCAGTCTGTGATTCACATATTTTCTTAGGCCAGCAGCTTTAGCCTTGATAAACCCAGGGCACACTGTTAATATTGCCAAAAAAGTTTCCCCTCTACTTTTTGAAGAGGTTGTGGCTTTCAGCTGGGCCTGAACTGACAGCTGCACCATCTCACATCTGCTTGATCAGACTAAAACTCGTGGAATCGACTCGGTTTTGCTAGCCAGTGCAAAAAATCTGGAAAATACGCAAGATCAGAAGCCCTAACTTTAGTTTTTTATTAATTTTCCTGCTCATCTGAATCAGAAAGCGTGTGTTTCATGGGCACACAGCTCCTTGCAGGAAGCCCTAAGGCAGACCACTGACTGGTTGGAAGTTGAGTAAAATTGCAATCTTTGGTGGCCGGCCGTGTTTGAGAGCTGGGAGCTTAAAGGGAAAAACCCAGAGGCCCAGCCTGGTGCAGCTCTGACTCACTCATTTCAGCACAAACTGTTCTGTAGATTTTCCAATGTTGCAAAGATGCATACGGAAAATTAAAAACTGCCAGGTATTTTTATCTGGACAAACATTACACGTGTGATTTTTAACATTTGTACCCATGGTAATTAGGTCTACCTTCAGCCTTCTAAATTGTGAGTGTCTCACCACTTCTGAATTATTATTGAGCTCCATCAAAGCAGAAATAGTTATTTTCTCTTACATTTATGGAGCCAGTAACAAAAATAATTTCCCTCTGGGATTATTAAAGTATTTCTGATTCTGATTCTGATTCTGATTTTTGAGAACATGTGAAGTCCAGCTCCCATTTCAGAGAAATAAAAAAAGAAGCATTGATTTTATGGCATTAAAATAAAGGACAATGCGGGTGGTCCTACAGGATCCTCCAGGAAATGAATAGAGAAATACACATGAGAGCTCTTGAGAATCCTGGTATGTATCCTCACCACTGATTACTCATCAATAGCTTTTGATCTTTTGTGGAGCTGGTTTTGCAGCTTCAGATCCTCCCACATGCTCCTCTCCATCCTATAAATTCTCTTTAAAGATTTTGACGTGTCCTCCACTGTCTGGAAGCACTAACTCGGTGCGCTGAAACACAAGATGACGGTCTCTGGTTTCTTGCTGTTGGTTAACAGAGTGGTCACCTCCGTGTTGTGACCTTGTCGCAGACATCTGCCCGCCAGAGACGCGGCGCCAGAAACTCTGCTGGTAATTAATTCACTTTTGTCCGCTCCGTGAGCTGGCAACCGGGGGATCACGTAGCACAGGAATCCACCGCCCTCCACTCTGCCCTGGTTCTGTGGCTCTTTTTGTCTGTTGTTGCCTCACGAAGCTTTGAATTAATACACAACACATGATAGACGATTTGAACAAAATACCACATGAGATATAATTGAAATGCAGGTTATTTTTAATTGAAAAAATAGATACAATCTGTGAAAAGTAGTGATCAATATTATAATGTTATAATATGATACTGACATGCTGGATTTTAACAAAATACCACATTAGATGTATTAGATATAATGGAAATGCAGGCTATTTATAATTGAAAAAAATGTAGATACAATCTGTGAAAAGTAGTTACCAATATTATAATGTTATAATATAATACTGACATGCTGGATTTGAACAAAATACCACATTATATATATTAGAAATGCAGATTATTTTTAATTGAAAACATTTTTTAGATACAATCTGTGAAAAGTAGTGACCAATATTATAATGTTATAATATGATACTGACATGCTGGATTTGAACAAAATACCACATTACGTATATTAGGTATAATAGAAATGCTGGTTATTTTTAATTGAAAAAAATGTAGATACAATCTGTGAAAAGTAGTGACCAATATTATAATGTTAGAATATGATACTGACATGCTGGATTTTAACGAAATACCTCATTAGATATATTAGATGTAATAGAAATGCTGGTTACTTTTGATTGAAAACAATGTAGATACAATCTGTGAAAAGTAGTGACCAATATTATAATGTTATGATATGATAGTGAAATGCTGGATGGTTGGTTATATAAAGAGACTGATTAAAACTATTACTGAGTATTAAAAACAGCTCTAATTTCTCCCATTTAACTATTATTTATGTGAAAATCCTAATTGCATTTCAGGCTCATTTATGAAAAGATGTGCATGAATCCTGAAGGGAATGAAAGCTGGTATGCATTATGATATTAGAAATGTCAGATGCTCTGTTGCACAGCTTTTTTCCTGGAGGCAGACTCCAGCATCTTTAGTAAAGGGAACCACAGAGCAGATCCACTTCCTGCTGAACTGTATACATGCATTAGTGTTATATGTCCACTCTAGCACTGAGGAATGCCTCATAGACTTTTATTTTTATTTATTTTTTGGTCAAAGTCCTGAATTCAGCATGATGTGGGTGGAGGGTTAAGGCCCAATCAAAGGTCAGCCCTTCCTCCCCTGCTCATTTCTCATATGACAAAACACTCTAAGTGCCTGTTTGTTGAGAAGAAACTCACCTTTTTATGTGATGCTATCGTTGTCCTTTGTGAAGAAACCACCACAAAGATTTGAGCTTGGCAAGCCGACGTGAGGAAAAGCAACTATTGATTTCATCCTTTTCTTCTTCTCGTGCTTTACAATCACCCGCGCCGGGTGGTATTCTCAGTGATATTCATCCTGGCTCTTGTCAGTCCACTTATTAACAACAGTAAAGAGCCGTTCCCTGCAGGATGCATGTGAGGAGCTCAGAGGAAACATTAGTCACTGATCCTGAACCGGAACATAGGCCGCCTTCACCCCGACACGGGAGGAGCAGGTTCAGATGTGTGTGTTTGTGTGTGTTTATGTGCCTTCTCTGAGCCCAGAGGCAAGCAAGCAGCTTTGATATTTCCCCCTCCCCCCCCTCCTTATCTTCTAGGCTCTTCCAGGCTGCTGCAACAGCTGTAAAACTTTACTGGTGCTGTGAAACCTCTCACTATCGATCTTTTCTGTCATAGGCTCGATATTACCGTCGAGGTTCAGCTAAATACTGCTGCTAAAGCCTTTTTTTTTTATGCTGTGCAGCCATTTTAAGTCATTATGTCTGTGTCTCCCTGAGAGGAACATCACGTTTAGCTGTCTTTCATCATCTGATTGTTTCTTCTCCACTAACTGGAGGTCTTCTTCTGTGACGTCTCGATATCTCCAGAACAAGTGCGGAACAGCTACTTCATCGGTCTGGACGGCTCCCTGAGGCTGGTTTTGGCCAACGGCATGGAGGTGTCCCTGTACACCGAGCCCCACCTGCTCGCCGGGACCGTCAACCCAACGGTCAGCAGGAGGAACGTGACGCTGGCCATCGACAACGGCCTCAACCTGGTGGAGTGGAGACAGAGGAAGGAGCAAGCCCGTGGTCAAGTAACTGTGTACGGACGCAGATTAAGAGTGAGTATCTCAAAACCCGAGAACAGACCTTCTCACTGTGCTTTCATACGTGCTGTCTAGACTGAATAGTCCATTTCTCAGCCATCTCTGTCCGTTGTTATTTACTTTGAAGGGCCAGTTCTATGAACTCCAATATTAACTCACTGACTGCCAGCCATTTTCAGAACAGAGAGTCGCTCACTGCCAGAGTTTTTTGAGAATTTTGACTGATTTTTCAAGAGCCACAGAATAGTTTGTGCTATGACTATGTAAACACCGAATACACCAAAAGAAAGAGTAGACTCTCTTCTTTCATCAGGAAAAAAGATTTTGTTTCTACCTTATTCCGTTCTTCCTGGACTTGCGTCTCACCGGCGACATTTCTCTCATAGCGAACCATTGCGTTTGTTTTTATTTGCTTACAGTCTATGCTAATCTCCCATCAAAAGTGGCACTGCCCCCTAGAGGGTAAATTTGTTAGTCCATACTCTGTCTAGAAGCCCATATTTACGGAAAAACTTTCGCTGATCATCCCCCAAGCCACTCGCATTGAAAAACATAAAAGACGTCTATAGACGTCTTTGGCAGCGAATGAGTTAAAAGCTCTTTGCTATAGTATAGTATAGCATGACAAAGCTTTATTGATGGTTGGCAAACACAGGAATCTGTAAACTCCAGACAGGAGAAACTGGAGAGACCCGGTGAATTGTTACTTATTATTTCTAGTATTTGCATCCCAACACCGATGAACAGAAATCCCCAGATGTGAGCTGTTACTATGGTTGTGGTTAATGTGGTCGACATTACCATATGTTTACCTTCTCTCTGTGCTCTCGTACTGTAACCTGTATGTTAATGTGGCTGAATTCCCTTAGCTGTTCTTATTTGCATATTTTTGTTTGTTTTTGTAGACGTTTGAATGAGTCTGGCTGAAATGCGGCTCTCTAACTACATCTTAGCCAGCTGTTACTTCCAGGCCCTTTTTCCTTGCGGCTGCTTTGTGCTTGTAAAATCTTGACTAAAATGTTAACAAAAGCATCATCCGCCCGCATGTGTGAAAGACAACAGCTGTGCTGTGATTCTGGCTATACTTAACTATGGAGTTATCACTCAGAGACAAGGTTAGAAATGCCTGTTTTTTTTTTTTCCTTCACACTTATTTTTGTATTACACACAAAGGCGTGAGAGGAGAAATCACAAAAAGCTCGGACATCTCAGGGAATATTAAATGTTTCTGCTTTAAACGTTGCTCGTCTAAGATGAAACCAACATTTTTCCTTATAGTTTATTTACATTTTTCATGTTTTTTTTGTGTTCCTTTTTTGTCGGCTGCTCTATAAAAGAATGGCTTATTTAATTTAAGGATTTTCTGGGCTGTGATGTGAAAACGTGGTCTTCTTTTGAGGAGGATTGTAAGCAGCAGTTTCTCACTTGGATTCAAAGCTGCAGACAATGAAAAAGCAGGAAAAAGCTGGTCAATTAGCACACGGTGTGGTATTCTGAGATGTTTCAACACATAAATGGTCCAAGGAAATGTGAGATTGTATTAAGTATGGCTCTTAGCAGCAGTCCTAATGATGTTGGATCTGTGTAAAGAGGCAACTGTTGCCTGAAACCTTTTTCTACTCAGTGAGAGATGCTCAGACTCACTAATACCCATGCTTTTTTTTAATCGATTTATTTCATTTTTCCCTTTATTGATCATGACATATCACAGGTGGACCAAATTAAATCCAGTCAGTCTTGTTAACGCAAAAAAATAATCATGTTAGGTATAATCAAAATTGAATACTGACAAAAATTGGCAAATAGCTTTAAATATTGTAGACACACGGTAACAACACAGCTGCACAGAAGTCCTTTTTTTATTATATAATAAACACCCAATGTAAAGCATTTGGTATTACCCACCGGACCTAATTATTAACACAGAGAGCACTAATGAAGGAAAAAAAGCTGCCCGGCTCAGATTGTTTTCCTCGGCTGTGTGAGGCAAAAAGCAAAAAGCAAAAAGCAAAAAGCAAAAAGCAGCGTTGGTTAAGTCGTCATGCACATTCTTCTAAAGGCAGCGCGGCTAATGTGGAGGTGCCACTTGGTCTGTCACTGGCTGTTCATTTAATGGCCTTGTTGTCCCTTTGGAAGTGAGAGCTCCTAATGTATGTTACAGACAACGGCCCCGGGGGTGAGGAGGGGGAAATGGGAGCAGCCTAATGGCCAAAACAAAAGGGGGATGAGCAGCGCCGGAATCATTGAGCGACCTTGAGTGACACGTCAAGTGATATTACGTGGGTGGGTGGGTTAGAGTGGGG